CAAGTCAGAAAGTAATGGGCACAAAGATTTACAGACCAGGGGGATACACAATCACAAGCATTAAAGACAAAAAACTTGCACAAATACTGCCTCAGTATCACAAAGCAAAAGGAAACAAAAGCAGGCACTGTAATCTGAATTATCAGAGCTTTGGGCATGCCATGCTATAGGCAAGAAAAGTTGTACAGAGAGCAGGTACCCAGCACAGCTAGTAAAAACAGCTGACAATCAATGAAAACCATCATCTTCAGCATGCAATTCTACAACTCAGGGCTAATTTTCACTCTGAAATTGTGCCTCTGGGTTTAAGTCCTATGTCAAGAACTTTTCCTCAGACAAAGACTGTATTCTCATAGGTAACAACTACTGGGTGACAGATACATACCCTAAAGGTGAACTAAAACAGTTATTTTATTTAGCTGTGGCCTCATAGAGCCCTTTCCATCACCCCAAACCACATACATGTTCGTAGGGGACCCAAATTAGTTGTGGTTAACTCATTCTGATCTTATTTGAACTAGTTTGATGTAGCAGTAATTCCCCTGGACCTATTCCTAAACTCCCCAACACCTTGTATCATTTCCACTTGAGCAGAGGGGTGTCAGGTGCTGCTGTTCAGTTCCATTAGTACTCCACAACTACTGTGAGTAAGTGAGAGCAAATCCACAAGGTGAAAGGCAATGCAGAAATCAGGATCCTTAACTTGAGCAGAGTTAGTTACAGCAGCATGAGTGAGAAGACCTCTAGGTTCCAAACATCAGGTTTGTCTATCTGGAGTGACAGGAACAAACCTTCACATCCAGGCATGCGGGAATTTGCGCTTCAAGATTCATGCAAGAATGAGGCAAGAGTGAGCCCTCGGGTCAAATGAGATCCTGAGAGCAGGCAGTTCAGTGGAAAGAGAATTCACCCTGTAAGTGGAAGGATGGAATACTGCATCTAAGTACGTGGGCATAGGCAACTGGTGCTGCCGTAGTCGGGGGTGGGGAGCACATGCCCCCACAGCGACCAGTTAGCGACCAGGGGGTCCCCCCGCAGCCA